CACAGTTTGGATACAACTCGCTTCCACTGGCTATGGCGCCTGAGCGCTCACACATCCTTTGTCCGACACTGTATTCACTCAACTGTTTACACGCACTCAACTCTGGATCTCCCTGGATATCCCACACACACACACTGTATCACACACTCATACATCCACTCTCACTAATACCTATCACTAGCTAAGGCAGCTATGGCCGCCGGCTACAACTAACTACCAGCAGCGATGGTTACTCTAACTCCGCCTCAGCCCACTTCGACTTCGGGCAATCTGCAGACCACCTCGCACAAGACGCTAGGGCAGCGCTTCCACATGGCTCACGCAGGAATGAATGAATAACTGGACGCTGCCTCTTGATTTATACTTCTGTAGGCCGCTGGTCTGCCCTTTTCCACTGGGGCCACGGTGCACACAGTCCCACATGGTACTTGCGGACTGGACAAAGTAAGACTGGGACTGGGTACCGCTGACTAGACAAAGTTGGACTGCCTACTTGCTCACACGCCTCTGGCCAAACGTAGAAACTCTCGAAAGGCCACTTCCGGGCCTTCCAGAAGTTTGCGGACTTGGCCTTTTGGGACTGTAGAAGCTACGACCTTAACCTTTCAGAACTACAACAACTATGACCCCTATGCAGGTATGACCCCTACTTCGACAGGTCTATGGTTCAAGACCCGACAACTACTCAGACCTACGACAGACAACTTTCAACTACTAACACACAGGTCACGGGTTCAAGGCACACAGGGTCGACTTGATACTGTACACAGGTAAGGTAAGGTAAGGTAAGGTAAGGTCTGGGGATCGAGCCCTGGCATCCGCATCTGTGATTGCAAAAGGTGAAAACCGTTTCAATGCTTCTTTGGGTCAAAAGTTTTGAGTCAAACTAAGGGTGTGCCCACACTAGGAACTGCTGACTGGCAGTGACTGTAATGCTGAATTTGGGGCACTTTTCAGTCCAGGTGCAGGGATAATGACCGGGCGTTCTATTCGGGTAGTGTGAGCAATGGCCTAAGGGCTTGCTTCATATGTGGGAAAAAAAAAAGCAGCTCAGAACTGGTGAGGGTTTGAATAAGGGTCAGGGGAGCAATCGCTTGGGTTCACCAAAGATTTGTTCCTTTTCTACTGCAAATTTAATTGAATTCATGTCCTTGCAATTTGCAAAAACATATATGATTAGAGAAAACAAGAGTGATTGATATCAGTCATAATTTCATGAATGAAAATGTCAAAACGACTTAACTGATGCAACTGTCATAACGACTTAACTGAGCCAGTCCAGAAACTGAGTGTCAGGGCCTGTGTGTTTTTTGACAATGTGACTTGTTCGATCCTCTGGGTGTTGAATCTTGCAGAGCAGCGCGCCAATCAACGGATGAGAAACCCCTTCTTGGAAACAGTGAGTGACCCTCCACCTTCCCTAACTTATCTTTCTTTTTTCTGTAGTTCTTTTTGCTTTTTTTTTCAAATTTTTTGTCCATTCTTTATTTGTTTCGTTTTTTTCTTCTTGTTCTCTTCTCGCTTTCGAGTCGGCAGTTAAACCACCCAGGACTACCTCGAAGCCTCTTTTTGCCGACTCGGAGGTGTAGTGGAACTGTGCGCCAAGCTTTACCGAAGCACCAGCGCGACATTTTTTCTGTCGGTTTGGCTGGCGGCACCAGCCATTTTGGTCTCGTGGCGCCCGGCCTTCGCCGGCCTCCGAAGAATGCAGTATAGCTTATATTCGCGACTTAGCCTCTCACTCCGAAAGGTAGTGGGTGGTGGTTTAATGCACAACCAACTGGCCAAGCCAAGCCAAACCAGCGGACCCAACTGAACAAGAAACTACAAACCAGGACCAACCAAACTGCGGCAACTGCTCAGACTGACCCAACCTGACCGAACCGACTGCCTCACCAACTGGTAAACCCGATCCAATTTGGAATGCAACCGTTGACCCCAATCGGCTCAGGCAAACCACCAGACCCACACAACTCATCCCGTATACCAGAGAGGGCCAACCAAGTGGGCCTGTAGATGAGGAAGCAGAGGTTACACTAACGAAGCAGAAAGATGAGGTAGGTAGGGGTGGGTCCTGTGAGCACCCATTAAAAAAAAAG